ACATGCTCTGGATTCCACCAAATCAGTCTCCAGGATCCGGCAGCTGACATACTTCAAGCACCAAATTAGGCTCCAGGATCCGGCGGCTTAAGACCTTACATCGCGTATTTCAAGCTGCACACCCAACCATAAGAAAAGTCAGGAGGCCGGTGGAATCCGAGGAGTCTCAGACATCTGGCGTTCGCGGATATTCGCGGTCTGGCTGCAAATTCAGATTGCATTCGTCACCGAATGGAGTCAACATTATGTCGACAATGTGCCTGCCCACAATCGCTCACTGTGTCAGCCACTGCCGTGGCGCAATATCTTCAACCACAACCCCGAAAGCCTAAGTCACCTACGTCAACTTCAGACAAATTTCACTGCACAAGTACTGGAGCTCATGACTCACAGATCTTACGCAACAGGCTCCCTGNNAGTCCCTGCCGGTACAGCGGCTCGGCTTCATCATAGCGGCCCCGAGCCTGCCAATTGTTACCCCAGTTCTGAGGGCTAGGGTATTTGTCAGAAAGGAACTGACACCTCCTGCCAGGCCAGGCTCGGAACGTTGGGCATCATTGTGCTCCACCGCTCTCAAGACTTCATGCATTATTGTACCCTTCGGTTCGAAGCTCGGGAAAGCCCAACAACAGGGCCTGCAGCAGCGAAGCCAAGTTGTTAATCGAACTCAAGATGCTTCCAGCCAGTATTGAGCTTGTGAGATGTGATGTATACGAGCCTGGCATTGAAAGCCCGATCGTGGAGCCTAGCTGGGCTCATCTCAATGTACGCACGGGCCAAAGGGTAGTACACAGCATTTACAATGTACGATCATTGCACTGCTTGGCAGAGTTAAAGTTCACCGCTGTGACCGGTGTCCGAGGCTGAATGGCTACAAGAGCTTCCGGATCCGCGCTCCGATTCGAAGGCCCAGCATCAACTGCTGAAGACTACGGAACCTCACGGCAGAACACTGTAGCCGAAGACAAGCCTGGAGCATCGAAAGCTTACTTTTAAACTCCACCATTACTTCACGGATGCATATTGGATCTGTAGGGATGCTCTGTAGAGATGCAGTGGCCTGAACCTGCCTTCAGCCCGACTCGAGAATCGAGGACGGGTCCTCCAGGAAGTCGGCCAAGTTCCGGATGGAGGCCATGGTGTACTCGTGTTGGGCGCCGTGGACAGACCGACCTGAAAAGTGCTGCTGTAAAGGGTGGAAATAGCAGGTAAGAGCGACAACAACGGAAAGTCGCGACTTGTCTCGACCCCCACAAATGGAGCTGAACTCCGACACGACTTCGTCGAAGCAACGCGACCCTCAGTGCCCAGGGAAGGCCGGGCCGCACTTCTCGAGCATTTCGCGGCAGAGCTGCTCTGCCTCCTCCAATTGGCCCATAAGCCTCAACAAGCTGGCCAAGTTGTACATGCTGCTCATCGTCGACGGGTGGGAGTCGCCAAGCCGCGCCCGGCCTCGGCCCCCGCGGTCAGAGGGATTGAACGGGGCATGTGTGCACTTCCTACCTACAGGTCTCCACGAAGCCCTGGTCTACTAATGCTTCAATACATTAGCCATTTTCCGAGTTGCATCTGGAGACAGAATAGTTACAGTCTGGTGGGGTGGGCGGGGCAATCAAATCAGTGCGTCAGTCCCCACAGCTGCCACAACTGAAAGGAATGGCACGCTTCGACACAACGATCCGATTAGCAGAACCAACCCTCCTGGTTTTGGTGCAAGGTCGCATCATGCTGCTTCCATCACCGGCTGGACAAGCCGCAACAACGCACCCCTTCACCGTGCTATAAGTGCTTCTCAAACAAACTAACCGGCATGGTGTGCCCTATCAAAGAAGCCTCTTCAAAAATGCCAGAACCTGCGCTGGCAGCGCAGCATGGCCCACAAGAAACCAAGTTCTCGTACCACAACTCCTGAAAGACCCCCGAAGCACTGCCAATCCAACTTCTATTCGCAAGCCCATGAAATTCACTGTCTTCGCCGCGCGTCTCAGAAAGCCGATGACTCAAAGACCCGACAGTACTCTGACACCTCTCGCCGACTGAGGCGGCGGCGACCCGCCAGTACCTGTCGATGCAACGGCTCGGCTTCGTCATGGCGCCTTTGAGCCTGCAGCTTGGTGCCAGTTGTGCGGCTCTGGGTGTGCGGCAGATCGAATCGTACGAACAGTTCTAGATGGAACGAAGAAGCTCGAGATGTTGGACTTGTGCAGACCGGGTGCGCAGATCCAACCGTGCGCACAGCTCTGGAACTAAGAAGCTTGGAAGGTGGGGCTTCACTTTGGCCCACCGCTCTTCTCAAGACCTCCCCCATTGGACCGATTGCACCCTTCGGTCTAAAGCTCGCGAAAGCCGAGCTCGAGGCCTGCAGCAGCAAAGCCAAGTGGTTCATCGAAGTCAGCGTTTGCGGATGCTCTTCACCAAGTTTAGCCCTGCCTCGGGGTCTTATCTCGTGTCATGCGTGCTGCATCGCTTCAAAGCACCATGATCGCCTTCAAACCTTGTCGATCT